ACTGGTACTTTTACTCTGGCAGTTCTGTTCCACTTAAGAGGAACAGATTTTACAAATGCTTCAGGAAACTCCTCCAATCCTAATGCATAAACATGCTACCTAATGTGGTTCGAATTCAAGATCCTCATCCTCACCTACAAGGCCATTCACGGCCTTGCTCCCTCCTACCTCTCCAACCTACTATCCCCCATACTTACCTGCCCGTACCCTCCGTTCCTCTGGCTCCGGTCTGCTCCACATCTCCCGCCCTAACATCGGTAGCCGGGCCTTCAGCCTCTCAGCCCCCAGGCTCTGGAACTCCATCCCCCAGTGCCTTCGCCTTACTTACTCCCTTTCCTCCTTCAAGGCCGGTCTCAAGACCTTTCACTTTGACCGTGCCTTCAGCTCCCCTCTCGACTCTCTACCCCCTCCTCGTTCCCTCCCCTCACCCTGACCATTTCCCCCCTGCTCGGGTCCTGACCCAATTGTCCAGCACTTTGGGACGTCCTCCTGACGTGAAAGGCTCTATAAATGAAATCTTGTTGTTGTCCTACAGCAGCCAGGGCAGGATTTGGGCTTGGGTCCGTGCTGAGTTAGGTTATCTTTGCCAGAGTGGCAGTCAGAGCACTATAATCGGCCTCAATATCAGCTAGGGTTCCACTTCCGATCCCTATTCAGTGGTTAATCTGACAGCATATAGATGAGGATCTGCGGTTCATTTGCATGCTCAACGCATTCAGTATTATCAACGAAACCCAACTGCAGAAAATCTGTCTCAAGCCTTTTATTTGTGTGGGCAGATCAGTCAGGTGTCTGACACATGTTGAAAATCATTTCAATACTCAGAGTATCCAAACCAGAGTTCCATGCATCCCACCTACACTTGGAAATTCCAGAGTTATTTATTGAAATGGAATGTGCATTCTCCCCCTGGAGGGAAGCACCCTGCTAACCTAATTTCAGAAAGTGTTAGATGCCGGTTGGCAAGAGCCAAGGCTTGGGGACCTGAAAGTGTATGTTGCGAGTACGTTTGGGAATCTAACTAGCTAAAAACCTTTTTTGGGGGGCATTTCGCCCACAAAATATACAGTTATTTTACATTGCAGTATATTCTGTGAAGCGCTTTGAAACATCTCAAATACGTGATAAGGCACTATATCAAATGCCAGGAATATTATTATTATTAAAACTGCATAGCTGGCCAGTGAAAGTATCTGGCAAGCTTTCCCACCGCTTGTCCAGCTTAGGACCATCTAGGGCTTTGGCTTACAGGTTAACAGATGAGTGGGATGACTCCCTGCCCCCACTGGTCCACCCTTCCATGCCTGCGAATGAGCCAGGCTGGAATATTAGGGCACTAAAAAGAAGGAATTAGTATTATTATAGGATTTTAGCACTTCAAAATATCAGGAAACATCCAGTCTGGTTCATCAGCAGGCTGGCTCCAGGGCCCTGAAGTACTGGCTCAGGAATTGTTCCTCTACAGAGGGCTGGGTTGAATTCTGACATTCCGTGGTCATCTTATAATAATCCTTGCACTCGTCTTCTCGAGTCTCAAAGCACTTCACAGAATATGCTGTAAAGTGAATTGACTGCATATTTGTGGGTGAAACGCAGCAGCCAATTGCGCAGCAGTGTCCCACAAACAGTCGTGGATTGAAAATGATCATTTTTTTTTGGAGGGATTATTATTAGGCGTGTGGAGTAAGGAAACTTGCCCAAGGTTTCGCCCTGCCTGGAATTGAACTCAGGTGTCTGCTTGCAAGGCGAGTGCTCTAACCATTGAGCCACAGGACTCCAGTTCAGCTCCAAGAAGATCCTGCTTACCTTTCCCCCACCACCTCCTTCCCACAAGGATAGTCACTCATTGGTATCTGACTAGCATGTGTTTATGCCCTCACTATGTGGATGGTAGGTACCAGGGACTCCCTGCAAGCTTCCCAGTGGCAACACAGCGCAGTATGAATGCATGAGCACATTGCCACCATCTTCCTGTCCGTAGCTCGGCCACACTAGTTGGGAGGTGTGGAGCTTCAGGAACAGCTGCTTACCTCTCTGCAAACCAATCAAGGTGGATTCCAAGTGCTGCTGCACAGACGCATGTTGACAAATTTGGTCTCCAGAGATCACCTTCCAGAAGCTGTAGCCTCAGGCCTCAGTTTCCTCAGAACCTATCAATACCTTTGATGTCGTCTCTTACAACAGAATACAAAATTACATTCGTATAGCGCCTTTCACGGCAGGACGACGCCCCAAGGCGCTGGACAGTCAGGGATTTGGACCCGAGCTGGAGGTCGGGATCGGGGAGGGTGGAGGGCAACCAAAGGCATGGTCGAAGAGGAGCGTTTTGAAACTTGCCTTGAAGGAAGTAAGGGAGGGGGCGAGGCAAAGGGACTGTGGCTCTTGAGCAACAACAACAACAAGATTCCATTTATAAAGCGCCTTTCACGTCAGGAGGACGTCCCAAGGCGCTGCACAGTTGGGTCATGACCCGAGCAGGGGGGAAATGGTCAGGGTGAGGGGAGGGAAGGGAGGGAGCGAGGAGGGGGGAAATGGTCAGGGTGAGGGGAGGGAAGGGAGGGAGCGAGGAGGGGGAAGAGAGTCGAGAGGGGAGCTGAAGGCTCGGTCAAAGAGAAAGGTTTTGAGACCGGCCTTGAAGGAGGAAAGGGAGGAAGCAAGGCGAAGGCACTGGGGGATAGAGTTCCAGAGCCTGGGGGCTGAAGGCCCGACCACCGATGGTAGGGCGGTTGGGGCGGGGGACGTGGAGCAGACCGGAGCCAGAGGAACGGAGGGTACGGGCAGGTAGGTAGGGGATAGTAGGTCGGAGAGGTAGGAGGGAACAAGGCCGTGAATGGCCTTGTAGGTGAGGATGAGGATCTTGAAATCAATCCTCTGGGGGATGGGGAGCCAGTGGAGGCGAGCGAGGGTGGGAGTGATGTGTTCCCGAAGCCTGGTGCGGGACAGTACACGAGCTGCAGAGTTCTGAATGACCTGCAGCTTGTGGAGGGAGGTGGCGGGAAGGCCGGCGAGGAGAGAGTTCCCATAGTCCAGCCTTGACGTGACAAAGGTGTGAACCAGGGTTTCAGCAGCGTGAGGGGTGAGTGCAGAACCATGATTCTGGCAAGAGCAAAAAGGTGCTTAGGTGAGTCCGCCAGCAGCACAATATCATCTGCAAACAGAAACCCTACAATCCAGTCAGAAAGGCCTAGAACAGATGCACAAAGTCCATCCCCCACTCAATGCCACCCAACATGTCATTGGTAAATACGTCAAATCAGGTTGGTGACAATGGGCAAGATTTGCCCGTGTATTCCCATGCCTTCCAGTTTCATCATGAGGGTCTCATGAGGCACTAGGTCGAAAGCTTGCAGAGGTCAATGAACACAGCATCGTGGGTGAGCTTCCTTTTAGCCTTGCAACTTTCTGCGATCTCAAACAAAACCACCACCTGTCCCACACATCCTCCGTGAGAAGCCAGCCTGTTCCTTCCTGATCAAACCACAAGCCTGCAATGTATGTGATACACCTGCAGTGACTCACCTAAGCACCACTTTAAGAGCTACAGGACATTAAGTAACACACATGCAGGGAATCCCATGTACATTGCAAACCCACAGGCTGCCTCAGTCCCCAAGCTGCCATTTGTTCAGCATGAAATTCATGGGCTCCCTGTTGAAGTCGCACTTTACTTCCTGAGACACTTTTCCAGGCTGTCATTTTCATTGCATAATTTCCAATCTACATATAGTTTCGATTTATGATTTTCAACCACCTCGATTCACAACCGCCATGCAAAGTATCGGAGCTTGGCAGGATGTATGGAACAGCACCTCATCACAAGTCAACACCTTCAGGAGTGGAAGAGTAATGGTGGGTGGCAGGAAAGTAATGTGAACCAACCCCCTCCCCCACCAAATAGCTTGCACATCCACAAAAGTTTTAAGAGCGTAATGGAGAACCTGTACTAAATAAAAATGTGAAAGGAGTAATATCACTTTATTCCTCCTCCCATCCCTCAATCCCAGAAAAAACCCTGTGCAACAATACTTGGTTTTAAGTATATATGATTATATATGGCTTTAAACGGCATATTTAAGACAATTTCATTGAAAGTACAAAAGCATCAGGGTCATTACACCATCACACAGCTAATAAAATGCTATAACATTTACTACAAAACACCAATATTAAACTGAGATCATTATTGTGAAGCATTTGCAGACAATACACCAGTCTTACTCAATTACTCTAGGCATGCTTGGCAGCCGACCTCTGTCACTTTAGAAAAAATATGCCATCCTGGTTGGAAAGTTGGACAGAATTTAATTTCTCATTATGCTGGTTGGCGTAACAGTTACAGTTCTTCCATTCTTTACTCACATGAGAAAAAAAACAGCAAGATTCACTTTCACCTGTGTAGAGGAATGCTGTACCCTTTTGAGGTTACAACTTCTTTTACTGGTACCCTGAGCACCACAATGAATAAAACTGAGTGAACCCAAGTGGCAATTGAAATAGGAAGTTTCTTTGGAAGAAAATAATCAAATAGACATGAGACTGACTGCAAAAGAAAAAAAAAACTTCACCTTCGAGAAGTTCACTGCCTAACCAAAAACAGATCGCAATGCGATTTCGTATTCTAATGAATTTTAAAAAAAAGAAATTGTACTTCTAGATCCACTGCCTCGCTGACAAGGTGGGGCAGACAGTTTCACAGTCATCAGTACAGCTCCATAACCAGCTAATACATTGTAAAGGATGGGACATGTCTTTCTGGAGAATATCCGCTTCCACAGAGGTTGATAGCACATCTTGTTCAATGGACGTTCCAGGCTAGTTCAAGCTGGTATTCCCTCCCCTTGCACGGAGTCCAGGATTCAACCAGAGATTGAATTGTGACACGAGTTAATCAACATACTTCCATAAGGGTCAGTGGTTCTGCATAATTTCAAACAGCACATTCCTACAAATATCCACTGATAAGGGTGAATCAGAACATAAATGATGTGCTCTATTTCAGGCACTTTCAAGATCATAGTTTATTAACCAGAAGATAAAAAGCTAGTATACAGATCAGGGATCCGTTTAATTTCAAGTCTACAATTCTGCACCATCTAGTATTTTTGTTTTGAATATTTTAACAAAAGTAATTCACAAACACCTGTAAGCCCCATCATTAGTATAGCACTATGTCTTGAATCACTGTACGTCTAAACAGCCCCTTGTTATATATACACATATGGTGAAATCAGCAGCAGTGAAGCAAGCAGTGAGAAGAGGTCACAGGTTAAAAAAAGCCAATAATTTCATAAGATGTGCTAAATCAACACAGTTATACATTAAAAATTTAAAAAAAAATCTGTGCCATAATTGAAATATTTCTATCCCACAAGCAATTCCCTCAATAATTACAATGGCTGTCATAGCTACAAAGAGTCCACATGCCATGACTTTTTTAAAAAAAAATGTCATTTCCAGAGATGGTATCAATTGGAAATCAGTAACGATATCTGAAAAACATAAATCGTGATTCTACATCCTTTTTTCGGTGAACAGAGAAAAGAAAAGTTGCATTCAACTTGCTATCATTCAAATGCTCTGAGACATGAAATATATTCTTTACAAATGACAAAGGACCACCTCATACTGTACACTGAATAACATAGTAAAAGGCTATGCAAAGTACCCACAAGATACTCGCCCACATACATCAACATCACATACAAGAAATTTGCACATGCTTTACAGAAGCCCCTTCCACCATACATCAGTGGCTACGAATAGAATGGGTCAGGTGTAGAATTAATTCATCATGTCTTGCAAAAAACTAGGATGGGGATTGGTAAATATACAAGTCAAACTATATACATAATATACTGGAATGTTGGCCATCCCAAAATTGCTTCCATTTAAAATTGTGAACTGCTAGAAGGCCTCCTCTGTCAAATACGTTGATGCCATTTAAAATGGAGATGCCTTACAAAAAGTTTATTTGTAACCAAAACACTTACAACTTACATAAAACTAACAGAACTCTCCAGGACTTTCTTAAGAGACGGTTAACTCTCATTTGTCCACAAAGGCAGGACTAAAAAGGTGAGAGGATGAAAGGGTGGGCGGGGGAAAGGGGAAAAAAAATGCACATACTCATGGTCAGGTCCTGAAGGATAAGGTGTGATTGAACAAACAACTAAATCAACTTGTGTAAATATTTTCCATGTTCCTTTCAGACACTAACCAGAGGCCACTGCTAGTCCTAACCAAATATTTTGAGGTTATTAAATGTGCGAAAGGTTTTGGAATTTTTAAAAACGTTTAAATTAGTTTTTCCAATTAATTTTCCTAATGCTCACTGTGAACAGCAAGGTCACAAAAGATCAATATTTTCACGAGATTGAAAATATCACTTCTGGCATTTTGCTATTCATGCTACACACACTCATACACACTTTCACAAGCATACGATAATAATGCACAGTTTTACTTAAACTTCTAAAACGTAGTGTGTACAGAATTCCTCTAATCCCTAACTGATTAGCTGACTTTAAAAGAAGAATCACTGGATGCATAACTCACTTTTGTAAGAAAACTGACATTATATAAACTGCGACAGAAATAGTGCAGTAGAAAGGCAGGTTTTGTTTTACAATGATAACAATTTCTGTGTAGCACTTGAAACTTTTTTCCCCTCTCTTTCCTAAGCAATTGTATATGAAGACTGTTTTACACGACAGTGCAGTTTACAGTCCAGATAAATGCATATTTGTTCCTCACATAAAGTTCGCCTTTCTCACTCATTCTCATTAAATAAAAATGCTGAGTGTAAAATATCTATGGACGAGATATGAATTTATCAGGATTAAACTGCATTTAATTTTTTGACATCATCAATAAATGCATACGTGCACATGGGGGTAGAATCCTGGGCAGCCCACAAAAAATATGTACCATATCTCTTTGGCTGTACTAAATGCAGCGTTTCATAGATAGGCCATTTGTGAATCGTTTTTTCCTACCTTAATGGAAAGCAAAGCCTTCAGCAAATTTGAAAGGAAAGGGCATTGTTCATGGAAAAAAAAAAGGACAGTTTAAGGAGATTATGAGACAGAACCGACAAGGAATAAAGTGTACTTGCACAAGTGGAAATAGAGTGAATATGAAAAGAGAAATTTCATACAATTCATTACAGTTTTTACTTAGTAAAGGCTGCCACTACAGACCAAAGTAATTCATTTGTATTAGGCTTCATAGATTCAACTTCAGGATCCAAGTCCAGCAGCTGTCGTACTCTTTTCATGGCTAAGTCATAATGTTCATCCAAGAGTGGGGCAAAAGCATTCTCCAGTACATCCGATGCATGGGCCAGGTAAATGAGGGCAAGCAAGCGTCTGTCCATCCGGTGAGGATCATTCACCCACTTGTCCAGCACTGCCTCCTGGACTTTTTTGATGAGACGCTGTTTAATAACATTGTTGGTGAGAGGGTGTGTCGTCATGTCGAACAGCAGGAAGTTCTGTTTCTCTGTAGTCAGTACACCTTTCTCCACCAGGTTCTTGGCCAATCGTTCCCGGACGTTTCGTAATTGATAGTGTAATTTCAATGGGTTCCATGTTTCACCTTGTGCAAGAGGAAAAAAAATACACACACACAATTAGTACGTCCATTTAGTCCAAAGATCCGAAATTTAATGTTGCAAGCTTCAGATTCTTTAAAAGTGATGTTTCCGTGAAACGCATGTGAAATCTTTTCATAATTTTAAACACCTCAATTAGGTCCACCCTCATTTGTCTCCAACCTGCCCAGTCTTTCCTGCTAGCTGTATCCACTCATCACTGGTAACATCTTAATGACAGTAAGATAAATAAATCCCAGCAGGGACCCCTTGTACCAAATAACTTTATAAATGCTGAAGAACTAGCAGACTGAATGTTTCACAGTAGTGCTGAAAAAGAACCACATTTTACTGTGGCCTCGAGAAGTTTGAAAATCAGTTAGTTTACACATCCTATAGTTTGCATATAGTCAATTGTTAAAGTTTGTTTTTCATCATTATAGCATTTATAGCCTACATATTAAATAACCAATCCCAGCAAATCACTTTCATCTTGATACATTTCTGCAGAAATGCTCTGATATCAGTTCCACAGGGACTGCTCTTCCTTAGAGGAACCTCACCTTTAGTACAGAGTATTGTACTCGGTCCAAATCCACTACAAACTTTCCAATGTTTAATTCATTGGATAATAGTTTATTTATAAACAATGACTGAAAATTTGTAATTGGCACTAGAGGAAAAGCACTTGGCGCAACATTTTCTCATGGGAAATCTTGATACATTTAATAAGGCTAGCAGGGAATATTTACAAACTAAATTAACTTGTAACCAACTTTGTTACGCTGTACAGTAAAACTCGCATAAAGTCTTATCGTTATAAATCATATAATCGCTTAAGTCGTATGTTCACCCGAGTCCCATTCAGTTTCCTATCAAAACCACTTAGTTTTGCAGTATTCGTATTAATCATCTCCTAACACGTAACGCTGCTCCCCTCCTCTCCATTATTCCCACACTTACCGGCTAAATCAAATTGCGGGAAATGACGTCCTGACCCGTCGACGGTGTGCACTTACCGGCCAACTGCAGGGAATCACGAGAAACTTAGTCTTGATCTGTCCAGGCATACACAGAAGAACTTCATTTCCCGTGATTCAATGCGATTCGAATGTTTACCAGTAAGAGAACATCTGGCAACGTTGCACTGTTACTACACGTTAATCAAGCCATTTTCCAAAATCAGATGCAGTCTACCGAAACTCACTGTAGATCACGTGACGAACATGTGATAAGAAACCAGAGGGTCCAAACCCACCTGGTGTTAGCCTGCAAGATCATTTAGGCTTAAAATTTAAAATCGCCCAGCTGTGTAACATTTTAGAAATCAATTTAGAAATCAAGGAGTTCTTAAAAGGACCGGCTTCCAAATGCAGTCTGAATTTAAGAATTTTCCACCATTCTGTGTGATCTTCATTTTTATGATTTTAACAGGCTAAGAATAGCTAAGAATTTTAACCCTTAAGAGATTACTACGATAAGAGTAGAGCAAAGATTCTTCCCCACCAAACGGACTCTGGAAGACATTTTTCTTAGAGGTATATGACCCTAAGACATTTATTGTAAAAATTGTTTATTTTAATGTTTTGGGAATATTCAGACACACCTCTCTCATTTACCATTGGAGTGGTTCAAATAAACATTTTCTTTTACAACAGATCGCACAGAGCTACTGAACACAATGTACTCAAGAGATAATTACTGTACTTTGGTAATACTTTAGTGACTGCGTAAATAAAGTACATTTAACAATTCCAGACCTACCTTTTGTAGACAGTATTTACTATCATCAAAAAAGAATCCAGCTATTATTGCTGAACAATTTTAGCATTAAGTAAAATTAGAGCTTATTTTTAGAAAAATGTTTAGATAAATACAAAAAGGTTTTGGAAAAGGACACAAACTGTTCTCACTCAACAAGAGCTGAATTATAAAAGGCTTGTGCGCCAACAGGACACACTGGCCTGTGAGCCAAAATCTCATGATGTCAAAAGCTACTGTAAATTCTAGAGGAAATGAAGCTCCTCAAAACATTTGAGAACAATTACACCACAGATTTTGGCCAAGACTTGGAAAAAAGAACACTGGACTGCCTCGATACTTTTAAAATACACATTATGTTCTTTACACTGATTTAAATTTTAAATACAGTCAATCCACTTTAATATATTCTAAGGCACTACATCAAATATTATTGTTGTTATAGAGAAATGTTTCAGATTCAATTCAATAAGCCTACTTCTTAAAACATGTTATTTGTACAATAGTACAGTGGACTCCACTTATTTCCTAGTTAGATAATTGCGCAGCAATTTCTTGATACTGAAAATTCACCATTGATTTGCATGTTTTTTTCACTTCACTCAAAACGCATATCAGAAATTGCATAATTTGCTTAAGTGCATGAAATATAGGCAGTCGATTTCATTTGTACATGTATAATTAGTTCAGATAATTGCACTGGTTGAAAAATTGACCTTGTGAGCTGCATATTAGCAAAATTCTAATTAAAAACAAAGAAAATGGCCTACAACGCAAGATACAAAAAAAGTATAACTTGTGTGAGAAATGTCACCCCAGAAAGGAACTGGGTAATTTTTGGGGATGTTGGGTTTGAAGCAGTTAGTTTATTATAGTGTGGGAGTTGTATACCCCATGCTGGCAGTCCTGAATGTTGTACATTTCATTTTCCAGCGTTGAGAACAATTTGCTTTACAATCAGGACTTGGGAGCATAGAATCCAGTTCCTTCCCACACAAAACCACAAAGCTTCCAGCATTTCCAATGGGAATTTTTTTGTTGGCTGCCTTCAGTGAGAAAAGTAATATCTAAGCATCAGTATACTCAGTTGGTTTAGAACATCAACAGTTCCTGCAAGCTTTAGTTTTAATGGCTTCAAAATATAAACTTAAAATCTGTTAAGCACTAAGTGGGAGTGAGAAATAAAATTCCTTTGTGTGTTTTGCCTAATTTAATTACCCACATAAATTGTTTTTCAAACACTAGTTTCAGGTCACAGCATTTCACATGATCTTTGACCTGGTTATATTTAATCATTTTCAACTTCCTGCTGCGTTACGACCCGCGGGGAAGACACTTAAAAATATAAACACCAGCAATTGCTTCAGAAGTACCAAATGCAAAGACATCGTACCACAAAATCATGTAGAGCTGAGCTTATGACCATGGAATCAAATAAATCCAGTTTGTGGGAGAAGAAAAATCTTAAGATTACCCTGTCTAATTGTCATTCAGCTAAAGGACACGTACCCTCACTACTGCACTGGAGTCGATTATTAGCTCAAGTGCAATGGAGGGGGAAGCAGTTTTCCTCCTCATACTTTCTCTTACTACTTCCAAAGGTAGTGACACAGAGGTAAATTCCCAGTCAACAGCAGCTCTCAGGTAACATTCATATGACATTTTTCACATTATCCTGGACAGGAACTGGCAGTCATTTGACTAGGTGAAGGTGAGTGTGGGAGAGTGGGGTGGGGGGGGGGGGGGGGGAGAGAGAGGCGGGAGCCAGAAGAACTGACTCAAATTCTGATTTCGCCCAACATCCACACTTTCCATCAGCGATTACTGAGCACTTAGGATTAATCCCTGGATTTCTGGACACTGAAGCTAATGATATAAGGCTCATCTGAAATACCAGTACACATTGGGTATTGGACTAACTAGTAACCGTGACTCAGTGCACTTACCCACTGAGGAGCCGAAAAATGTTCCTTTAAACTGTCACTGTAATTTACTTGGAAGACGTATCGTGAACGATGGTTCACTTAGGCTAAACAACCAGACCAAATGTTGAATTTTAAACAGCACTTCACTAGACTTAATTTCTGAATTTCTGTGTCTAGATAAGACATCATTATCCAAAGAAGTTATTTTTAATATCCAACAATTTATATCAAATCTAGAAAAACAACCAAAGCCTCATTACAACTGGAGTGAATTAACCTATTAATGTAATTTCCCAGTTGGTTTAGGAGCGATTTAAATAGTTCATAACTAAATAAAACTCAGAAGTACAAACAAGAATTTGCTTCCAAAATTAGTTATCTCTTCTGTAGCAAAACGCAGATGTTTTAATGCTAGCCAGTATTGAAAGTTCTGTGTCCAAGTTTACAACAAATAGTGGTGTATTTAGGCTGTAGACATCGAAATCTCTGCTCGAGGTATTTCAGTGGCAGCCAAGCATCTCTCAAGACCAATGAGACATCCAAGACTATTGGAGCATTAATTCTTATAACAGTCATCGGGAAAAAAAAGGTTTCATGGAAACAAGCCCTTTCCTCTAGAACGTGACATGAAATTACGATGGTTGAATAGGTAATGAAGGTCTGCCGGTTGACAGGATGAAATCCTATGTTTCACTGCTACCAAAACAGTGCTCTCTTTAATTGAAAATACTGTGAAAGATAATAAAAATAATAATCATTGCATTTGATATAGTACCTTATCAGGTCATTGAAACGTCTCAAAGCACTTCACAGAATATACTGTAAAGTGAACTGATTAGATTTTTGTAGGCCAAACTTTGAAACACGGTACACAGCGGTGGCCCACAAACAGTCGTGGATTGAGTGACTTTTTAAAGGGATTGTTACCACCAGGAAGAAAATCCACCAATCAACTCACAAGTATGTCCCTATTTACTGCTTGGTAAGCAGAGGTGTTTGAAGTGAGGAAATTTGCCTGAAGTTTTATGCTGCATGGGAATCGAACCAATGCACTACAGGACTCCCAGTTAATTTTGGAGGCAGCGTTGTATTGTCTACAACTGATTTTTAAAAAAACAATTTAAAGGTTATTGTTGCACAGACATTTTCCAAGTGTATAGCTCTGCTTTGAGGGAGAGAAAATTGTGAACATGTAGCTGTGAAACCAATATTACACCAAAGTTATTTACTTTTGGCTTAAAGAAGGATTACTAGCTGAGGGGGTGGGAAAGACTCGGGCTAACGACTTTACCAGGTTTAACCTGCTTAAGAAAAGTACA